TGCTTTTTGGGTAATTCTCCCTGGGTTTAAAGCAGGTGTCCTCAAACTACGGTCCGTGGGTCACATGCGGCCCGCCGAGGACATTTATCCAGCCCGCCCGATGTTTTTGCCTCGTTTGTTTTTTTACTTCAAAATAAGATATGTTACCCCAACAAAATGATTTTTTTAAAAGGCCAAAAATAAAAAGGATGGAGGGAGAGAAAAAAACTCCATCTTGGATTTATTGTAAAAATCTGTCAAGAAATTATTTAAGATTAAAAGTTCATTGAACAGGGAAAAAAAAGATATGTGCAGTGTGCATAGGAATTTGTTCATAGTTTTTTTAAGTATAGTCCAGCCCTCCAACGGGTCTGAGGGACAGTGAACTGGCCCCGTTTAAGACGTTTGAGGACCCCGAGTTAAGGCTCGCCTAGCACTACGGGCCTTTGCTGACATAGCATAGAAAGTTCTAATGCCACACGGGATCACAGGGATGGTGGTTAAGATCCCAACACATGCTGCTCACTCAAAACTCTATCGTCAAGTTGAACTTGAACTCATTTCCACCCTATAACTGTAGAACTGCCCCTGTGGGTTTCTGAGACTCTAAATTTTTATGGGGCTGGAAAGCTTCATCTTTTCCCGACCAACACGTGTTAAAAGAAAGCACAAAACCCTCACTGCCTTCAAGTCCGTTTTAACCCATGGCGACTGCCCTGTGGACTTGTAACTCTTTACAGGAGTAGGAAGCCTCATCTCTCTGCCTTTGAGCGGCGGGCAGTGCATAACTACTGCACCACAACCCATACCGGGGGAGCACAGTTTAATTCATTGCACGGCTGTTCAATAAGTTATTGAAAATATATTTTTAACATCTCCCTTGCAACCAAATCCTTTCTTCCTATAAATGACGTAACGTCTGTGCTTGTTGCCATCACATCAACGCTGACTCACAGCGACGCCCTGTGAGTCTCCCAGACTGTAATGCTTATGGGAGTAAAAAGCCCAGCCTTTCTCTCACGTAGCTGCCGGTGGTGTTGAACAGCTAACCACGCGGATCGCAGCCCAACGTGTAACCACTATGCCACCAGACCCCTTCTAATGCCTGTGCTAGGACGCTGCTTATAAAAGAGTCTTCAGGGTTTCTTTCCTGTTGTGACTGGAAGCGAGAAGGAGGAGAGTGACAAGCGCCCACTCGGCCCTCCGTCCTTACTAGTTCCCTTTTATGCTTCAGCTGCACGCACTGCTGCTTCCGTATCTGACAGGCCCTTGCACACACCATGCTGCCAGGAGCGTGGCCACGGTTAAGACAACTGCTGACTTCCTTTGCAGCCCCAGAAATGCTCGTGGAAACCTCCCGGTTGGGAGGAGTGTAGATGATACGACCATGTCGCCTGTGACTGTACCACCCGAAGCTGAACGTCCACCTCTCCTGTCGTGCTTGCTGTGAGGTGCCACGGAGCTGGTTCTGACTCACGGCGACCCGGCGTGCAGGAGAACAAAACCAGCACACCTCCCTGATGACCAAGTCACCCCAATCCCTGGGCAGACAGCTAACCCTAACGTGGGCGCAACCATCTTCGTAGCAGCTTTGCTTCTAATAGTGAACAGTTGCACAGAACCAGCAACAGGGGAACAGACAAGTGAGTTACACAATGGAATACCATGCAGACCGCAGGGCGCAGCAGTGGTTACGCCTTGGGCTGGTAATTGCAAGGTAAGCAGTTCAAAACCACCAGTTGCCTCTGGGAAGAAAGACCGGGCTCTCTACTCTCATAAAGAGAAACTCACAGGGGCAGCTCGACCCCGTCCTAGAGGGTCACTGTGAACCAGCCTTGTCTCAAGGGCAGTGAGAGTGAGGGATGCAGCGATGGTCCAAGAACAGTTCAATGTGTGGAACTCCAGAGACGAGCCTGAAAAACATGATGCCCAGCCCAAGAAGCCATATGCAGCGTGGCACCACCTGCTCGTGTGATTGAATTCTGAGCAGGGCTGACTGCGCGGGAGGCGAGGGCAGTGTGCTGGGAGCTATGGAGCTAGGAAGGGTGTGAGGAAAACCTTCTGGGAAGATGGAAATGTCCCAATCTTGATCTGGCTAGTGTTTACATAGATGCATAGGTGTAAACAAATTCACTGAGGTGAGAGTGGCGACACCAGGAGGGTAGAGGGAAGGTGGGGTAGAGAGGGGGAATCGATTACAAGGATCTACATATAACCTCCTCCCTGGAGGATGGACAACAGAAAAGTGGGTGAAGGGAGATGTCGGACAGTATAAGATATGACAAAATAATAATTTATAAATTATCAAGGGTTCATGAGGGAGGGGGGAGCGATGAGGGAGGGGAAAAATGAGGAGCTGATGCCAGGGGCTTAAGTGGAGAGGAAATGTTTTGAGAATGATGAGGGAAATAAATGTACAAATGTGCTTTACACAATTGATATATGTATGGATTGTAATAAGAGTTGTATGAGCCTCCAATAAAATGATTAAAAAAAACAATTGATGTATGTATGGATTGTGATGAGTTGTATGAGCTTCCAATAAAATGATTTTTTAAATTAAATAATAAAAGGAAAACAAATAAAAATGAATTAAGGCAATAAAAAAATTCACTGAAGCTTTGCGCAGTGGCAATATCATAGCCAATGAGGTTTACCTGAGGCGTGATTATTGCTAATTGAAAAAAAAATTCACTGCAGTCTGCACATAAGTTTGTGCCTTTACCTTATTTAATTCTAGGACTCTTTAAAACTTCTCATTTCTGCTTCTTGCACACATCAGCCGCAGCTCCTGGAGATACATGATGCGGGGGAAAGGTTCCAACTTAGCTAGATGGGTTTCATTAAATTCACTGTGGGACAAAACCCAGCTAGGGGCTGCGGCTGTGGCGGCCAAGGCCACTCGGTGAGCTATGAGCCGGGATGGAAGTGGGATACCAGAGGCCAAAGTGCTGGGAGGGCCGGACTCAGGGCAGTCCACCAACAAGAGAGGAACAGCCAGCTGAGAGAGATGGAAGAGACCATGTTCAAGTGCTAGCCTCAAATCCTTCTCTGTATCCTTCATTTTCCCTCCAAACTTCACACAGGATCAAATCCAGGCTCTCCAGAGCAGAAGTGCCAACCGATTTGGACAGAATGTGATGTTTGTTCCGAAGTGGAACAAATGGTTCTGTGCCCAGCGTTGAATCACAGCAAACTCCTCATGAGGATAAGCTGTAGAGTGTAGCACGTCCCCCTCCCGTGCCGAGCAGTCTGGGGCTGCTTTGTTTAGCGGCCTTGGAGCTGTGACTCGTGCAACCCCTCATGTGCTGTGGTCCAGAGAAGAACTGCTCTGAGGGCTGTTTGTGGCTGTCCTCTGACAGTGCTGGCTAAGGCTGCTGGCCAGTGTGACAGGCTGCCGGAAGGACGAACAGCTCTGTCTCGGAGGAAGCACCGCTCCTTAGTGTGGAGGATGAGACCTCATCTCATGTACCTTGGACATGTGCCCAGGAGAGAGCCTCCCCGGTAAAGGCATCACGCTTGAGGTGAGGGTCCACCAGCAAGAGGAAGACCCTCGATGGGGTGGATTGACACAGTGGCTGTAACAATGGGATCAAATGTAACAATTGTGAGGGTGGCACAGGGCCAGGCCGAGTTTCCGTCTGCTGTGAGCTGGAGCCGCCTCGGTGACACACAACAACAACAACAACAACACAGAGGCAGGTGGCCAGGCCTTTTCCACCATGGGACAACCTTGAGATGACCGATCCTGTGCCAACACTTTTTGCCACCTAGGGAACACCCTGCGTCACCCACGAAAAGGAAAACTAGGTGAATTAGGAGAGATTAAAGAGCCACATAGGCGTCCCAGTGACACTGTGGGTGCAGCATTGGGGTACTAACTATCAGATCAGAGGGTCTGATTGCCTGCTCCCTGAAAGAGCTGTAGTCTTGGAGACCCTCGGGGACGTTCTTCTCTATCCAGCAGGGTCACTAGGGGTCGAAGTCGACTTCATGGCAGTGGGTTTTAAGGAGCCAGAGCAACCTGAAAGTAGAGTCTGTCATTGAGGTGTGCCTTCTCTTTGCCAGTCCCTGTTCATAGAAAGATACTGGACCAGGAGGGACCAGGTCCCAAACTGCTGAGGAGCCTTGAGCCTGTGCGTCGGTGGTACTCAGCCTTGGCTGCACATTGGATTTCCACTGAGGCCTGGATCCCAAGGCACTGATTCCAATTCCCTGGGTCTGCACAGCAGGATTTGTTAATGCCCAGAGAAGGTTGAGCCACGGATCTGTCTCCTACCACTGAGACCCAGCATGATCGACAGGAGACATTGTAATCCATAGGGATTTCATTGGCTGCAGTTTGTCAGGTATAGATCTCCGGGCCGTTCTTCCTACTTCCTCTGAGTCTGGGAGCTCAGCTATTCCGTGTCGCAGCTCCACCGACAGATGGGTGGCGACTGTGCATGAGGTGCACTGGTCAAGACAGCCGCAGGGAAGGGAGGATTCTGCCATGGAAACCCACTGTCCCTGTCTGTGGCGTGAGCTGAGTCTAAATCAGGGTCATCCGTGGGGGACTTTGCCCGACGCCATCTGGCAGACAAAGCCGCAGCCAGTCCGGTCTAAGGGGACACCAGCCTGAGAGTGGGTTGATTTTGCTCGGAGCTGAGCGCCGGCCAGGAGCTGCGCAAGCCTCTGGTATTCCTGCTCTGGCCAGCACTGTCATTCCTTTCATATTCTCTCGGGGGAATTCCCTGGTGCCCGAGGAGTTCTGCTGCAAAATGCTTATTCCATAAAAGCACAAGCGTGTCTGCTCTGACCATGGGAAGGGACCCTGCGCCCTGCTCTCACTGCGCACGAATGCCGCAGTGCATGGCTGGTGGGGGCGGGGAGGAGAAAACGACAAGGAGTCTGTGAACACAACAAGCTTATGTTTCCATTCACGAGACCGCTTTATCTTTCGTCAGCACCCGAGAGGTGTTTATACTGAAAACACAAGGCGTTGGCTGTCCCGTGACTCCTGACTGCGGGTGACCCCATCCCGGGGTTCAGAGAACAGTTCCACAGGGTCTTCAAAGCGGTGACCTTTCCGCAGCAGCCCAGGCATTTCTTCCAAGGACCCTCTGAATGGCTTTGAACCACCAACTGCTTGGTTGTTAGCTGAGCACTTCATCACGCCCCAGGGTCTCCTCGTTTGGGGATACTACCATCGGTGGACTAAGTTTCCACAAATAGGGACGAGATGCAGTCTCATTTCAGGACAGCCCTCCCTGACTCCATGTCCACTCAGGGCCCAACATAGGGCCGGGCCTTGGGGGCAGGGATTTGTGAGACCTCCCCCCTGCTCTCACAGTCAGTCTGCTCAGCATCCAGCCTTGGCTCCCAAGGGTCCCTACTGCCACCGTAGCCCATGCAATGGGCCCCACGTCTGTCTTCATCTGCAGCATTGAACTTGGAGTAGGGATCAAGGCGAAGCTCAGATGAGTTGGAAGGAGAGTCTTGGCCTTCTCCTGCTGAGTCAGACCAGGAGGAGCTCAGCCTGGGGGGAGGCATCTCAGCAGGCCCTTGTTTTCGCCACATTTCTGAGATCAAGGCTTGCCCCCTCCCATCCTTCCCCCCACCCACCGAGCCACGGAAGCAGAGGGGTGGGAGTGTCAGTGAGGGTGTGGGGAGGTGATCGCTCCAGGAGTCTTGTGTTCTGTTTCCAGCTGGTGGCAGGAGGCCAGATGTCCAGACAGTTTATCTTGACCCAGTGAGGTTAAGATGACAGCCCTCCCTCCCCCGCCCCCAGTCTGTAGATAAGCGCTAGGGGCACAACGCACTTCTTGTTGCATCACCCGGACTCACGGCCACCCCATCTCCTGTTCAAGAGTCGAATTGTGCCCTGCCAGGCCTCCGTGGCTGGTCCCTTTGGAAGCAGTTGCTAGGCCCTCCTTCCGGGGCATCCTGTCCATTACCATGCGCACCCAGGGGCTCCACTAGAGGGATACACCCCAAACCAATGGGTTGCCATCAATTCTGTCTGGGATGACTCTGTGCTATACTTAGAAATGCTCCATAGCATTTAAGTGGCTGCACTCTTTCGGGAAGCAGATCGCCAGGGCTTTCTCCCACGGCACCGCTGGCAGAGTGCCACCACCTTTTGGTTAGTACCAAAGCAAAACAAGCCCTTTGCTGATGAGTCCGGTTCAACTCAGAAAGGCCCCGCAGCGGGTTTCGGATGCTATAAATCCTGCATGGCAGCTCGTGCAGTAGCGAAACAGCTAGTGAAGAATCGATGTGTTTGAACGCGGTGCTGGCAAAGAATACTGGACGTACTGTGGCCTGCCAAACGGACAAACCCGTCTGTCTTGGAAGAAGTTCGGCCCGGTGCACCTTAGAGGCAAGGAGGGCTTGGTCTTCCGTCCGCTGGCCATGTGGTCAGGAGAGCCCAGCCCCTGCTGAAGCGCCTCGTAGAAGGGCAGTGGAAAGAGGAAGGCTCTCGAGGAGTCGGATTGACATGGCGGCTGCAACCATTGAGAGGCAGGATCGGCAGGGTTTCCTTCTGTTGGGCATAGGTCGCTCTGCACCTAGGACGGGTCCTATGGCACCTAGCAACCACAACAAGTAGCTGGCAGGGAGCACTTGAGCCTTAACGACTGCCTCACCAGGGCTTGAGGACAGACCCCATGTACCAGGGACCTGCTCCAGCAGCGGTTGGCAAATTGTGGTTCTCGGGCCATGTGCGGGCGGCCCTTTCAGGTGCGTACATGTGGCTCTGACATGAAATTGAAAAGTTGTACGCATGTCATTCAGATAATGGTGATTCCATTTTTGTCAAAAAAATATATTTATGGCTCCCGAATAATTTTTTAATCATTTTTAATTATGGTGAGGGACAGGATTGGCTCTTCTGTCTCAAGTTTTCCAACCCTGTGCTAGAGGAACAGAGACATTTACAGTCTAAAGGCCGTGACAAGGCGTAGGACAGTGGCCACTGAGGAGAATACCTTCTGCCCGGGGCAGTCTACGCAGAGAGTGTCAGGAGACGGGACAGCTGGAGCAAAGACTGAACTGAAAATAACCACGTGAGCTCAGCCTTCTCCGTTCTCCAGCACCATGGCACCTCCCTGACTCTTCAACCCAGCTAGCGGGAATCACAGAGTGACATAAAGTCTGCAGCTCTGGACTCCTAGCTTGACCGAGTGGAGAATGACGAGGGTTCTCTTTCCACAGCCCACACAGAAGCAAGTCGACAGAAACACTGGGCTTTCTACTCCCATAAACCGTTTAGTCTCAGAAACCCACAGAGTCGCTGGGAGTCAGCATTGACTCCATGGCAGCGAGTTTGGGGTTTGGGACCACTTCCCTAGGAACGCTGCTCATGTAGTGGTGACGCATTGGGCTGCGATCCTCAAGGTTGGCAGTTCGAAACCACCAGCAGCTCCTCAGGAGAAAGATGGGGCTTCTACTCCTGTAAACAATTAGTCTCAGACACTCCCAGAGGCTGCTCTGCCGTCCTACAGGGTCGCCAGGAGTCAGCATCGCCTTGATGGCAGTGAGCCGGAGACCAGGGCCCTCGTACCTGTTTCTATGAGAAAGATGTGTTTCCCTCTCTGCCTCACAAAGGTGCTGGCTTTCACAGAGCTCACTGTCACGCGGGGACAAAACTTCACACGTGAATAAAGTAGATGGCCCCCAGTCGTGTTTGACATCTTACACACGTCTCCCTCTTCACTCCGGAGAGCTGCTTTCCCTCGCCCCAGCCCTGGCCGGCTCTTTGCTCAGCGCCTC